CCTTGGGCTTAAACATTTTCTCTATGAGATGAGCCCAGAGCCGCCTCCCAGCTCTTAGCTTAGCTATTTCCATGTAAAAGTTCATGCCAATTCCCCAGAAGAAAGAAAGTCTGCAACAAGAACACACACACAGAATACTAAACCATTCTAATAATTAAGTAATGGAAAAGTCATGTGGCAAGTTGATGTATTTTAAATATACATTCAAAAGCCTTTAAGGGACTTTTTAGGAAACTTGTGACTTCCAAATGCTGTAAATGCTCAATTACCTGAGCTTTCCTTTGATAAGTAGATTTTTTCCAAATATATCAAAATAATGTTGGTGATCAGAAGATTCAATTATACTATAGCATAAAACAACTACCAGAGCTTTTGACAGATTCTGAAAACTATACTAGATGTCATAAAGGCTAGGGGTCTTTCTGGCCCAAGACCATTGTCACATCAGACCTTGGCAATGTTCAGGCTTCTGAATAAGCTTTATTCAGTTTATTAGCATAGATGCAATTTAGGTGTCTATTGAATCAGATATATTTTCAAACTGCTGAAATTGCATAACAACCAAGAACAAAAAATCAACATGTAATATAAAAATTGATAAAGTTACCTGTGCAGGAATACTGAAGTACATTTCAGATTAAATTCTAGAGGTTTCATTCACTCTTCTGAAGCAAGTTTTGCACTTACAGATTTGTTTTGCTCACCTTGGGGCAAATTCATCAATAGTAAGACCAGCTTTAAGTCCAGTTCTGCAGTACTCTAAGCCATCAGCTATAGTATAAGCTAATTCCAGAATGGCATCAGCTCCTGCCTCTTGCATATGGTATCCACTAATTGAAATTGAATTAAATTTTGGCATATGCTGCAAAAACAAAAAACAACAGTGTATTAGAGCAGAAGGGTGGAAATTGCACTATCAATGTTCGCAAATAATCAATTCCTTGTAAACTGACATTAAAACATATCTCCATTAGGCAGTTTTGCAGGCACGTATTACACTTTAAACAAATAGTTTTTCCCTCTCAATATAGTTAAAATGCTTTTAATTTTTTACATTATCACTCGTGCTTATATTTTTACATTATTCATTGTGCTTATTTGCATTCATCATGATAAACCTCTTTCTCTTTGGACTTGATTGCAGCCTGTGTTCTACCTCCCCAATGAAACTGCAAATAAGAAAATATGTGGAACCATCAAACTTCCTGCTACAGTATCAAGACTTTACTGTTTCATTACCTCCTTGTGCTCCATTTCATAGCTGAATTCCTCCAGATTTCTCATCGCTTTGCTCCAATTTATAGCTGCACCATCCTTCCTAACCATGGGATTTCTTCTACTACTTGATGTGCAAAATGCGGCCTCCCTACTCCTTGCTTCCAAGCTTCCTGACTTCCTTTCAGGCCTAGCCTTAGGGTAGAGGCTGCCCTAAATCCTGTGAAGTAATCTAATAATCCTAGAAAATATACTGCAAGTGGTTTGGGATCTTAACTTCTCCTCCCTCCTCTTTCCACAACCATTTCCATCTTCATTATGAGAAGTCTCTCTGTCTTTCACCTTGTTCTACAAAGAGCTCTGCAAGCGCATAGCTAACCTGATAGAAGTAAATACACTTAAACAAGGAATACCTTTGASGTGTACTGAAAGATGTCAGCAATAATCCGCATTGATGGTTCTGGGGGGAAAATATACGTATTTCGGACCATGAACTCCTTCAATATGTCATTTTGGATCGTTCCTGTCAGTTTGGCTTGGGGTACTCCCTGCTCTTCTCCAGTTACGATGAACGTTGCCAGCACAGGAATGACTGCCCCATTCATGGTCATAGAAACGGACATTTTCTCCAAAGGAATTCCATCAAAAAGGATTTTGGTGTCTTCCACGGTATCAATGGCAACTCCAGCCATTCCAACATCCCCTCGAACTCGTGGATTGTCTGAATCATAACCACGATGGGTGGCTAGATCAAAAGCAACTGACAATCCTTGCTGGCCAGCTACATGAAAGAAAAAAAAAATAGATTGATTCTAAAGTGCTAAACAGGTTTGCTTTAAGAAAAGGGGCTAATTTTAATCACCTAAGCTTGGTTGTTAAAATAATTTTTGATGTTAAAAACAGTTTCCTCCTCAAACTTGTCCAAAGTTTTCTAATCCATGCAGAGCTTAAGCTTTAAAAGAAACAGTGAGAAAGGAAAAACTGAGGGAAAAAAAAAAGTGGTCTTTCGACCCGAACCACACAATCAAAACGTGTCAACAAATTACTGAACAGTTTTTCAACTAGTAAGTTAAATGCGGATACATGGACAGTACTGTGGCACATGTACACTAGCTGTACTTGGCTTAGCTGGAGACTAGTGTAGGTCACATTATCTCCTCTTTGCCACAGTTTAAACACAAGCAAACACACYGATATCTGGCTCACTGCTCACATATGTTGTTTAATCCTAATGTGAAGTGCTAACATCTACAGTAAGAAAAGTTATTCTTATAAAGGAGTAAACTGGGCAGTTAGAGATCTGTCAGGCTTGTTTCACCAACCTAAAAGCAGTACCTAACACCTCCTTAAATACAGTCACTGGTGTTGTTGTTTCTTAAGAAAAYCTCTATCTGCTCCTTTTATAAATTAGCTGCTCAGTATCAGCAGATACTAGCTACTCTTGTCAGTTTAAAAAATTAGGTGTTAGCTTAGAAGCAGTTTAAACTGCTCTTTAACTGTTTGACTTCTATGAAGTTCACAGTTTGGCCCACTGATAAGAACTTCAGCGATTCTGAGGATGGCTAATGAATTCTCTTTCCTCAGCATTCTTCTAATTAYAGAGTGATTAAATTATTTAAAAGGCTTTACAAATAACTAGGCCATATTCACATAGTATCACAATACAATCATAAGTATTTCTGTTAAAATATTTGGAGATCTTTAATACTCTATGTTTGTGATTTGCTAATTTACTGAGGTTTTAACAAATGGATGGAATCAAAAAGACAAGCTTGCAAGAATCTGATGGCAGCTAAAACTAGCCTGCTTCATACTAGCTAACGCTGGTAGGGAAATCAACCCTGCCGCCCAAGCAGCACTGACATTTGGAGCAGGAACACCTGTAAAGTAAGATATAAAAACTTCCTAGAGGTATTATTCAGATTGCAAATTTTAGCAATATGTTGCATTGACTGATAGGGTTATAATTAGCTACTCTTCAAAAAGCTGCCAGGTGCAAAACAATGGCTGTTGTAAAACAAATGCTGTATTCTGTGGAGATCAGGCCACTTTTTAGTAGTGGCTTTGAGATTCATATCTGAATAATATGTTATGATGATACTCTAGCTATTATTCAAAACAATTGCTATAAAGCACAATACTCTGCAGAAATACTGTTCTCAAGGAAATTATCAAACTTTAGGAGCCTGGCTTTACTAATAGCCTACTCCTATACACAATCATATGAGTACATTTTAAACTAACAATATGAGAAGGAAACACAACATGTCAGAATGCATTATCAGAAGTTTAACCAAGTGACAAAGTTCAGCAAATTTTTCCACTGCAAACCTCCCTCCTGACCACAAAACGAGACTAAAGTGCTCCACACTCTACTGCCTTGACYCTGGGATGATGCCAAATTTTGCCTCTGTCAACATTAAAGCAGAATATCTAAAAATAGAACATAATACACACATTTTTCCATCTCAATGGCAAAAATCAAACCAGAACAGTTAGAGAAATGATCTAAAAAGTGCAAGTGAGAAGAATGTAGCAAAATCAAAACCTGGAAGGCTGAATGATCACATTTGCTATACAGTTCTCCATGTGATCGCTCTTCGCTGCTTTGCCAAGTCCGCTACCAAAGCAGCTGTCTTACCTTTAATGTTGTCCTTGTAGAACTTGTTACTCTCCTCCACGGTGCTGAAGCCAGCATACTGGCGGATGGTCCAYGGCCTGTACGTGTACATGGTCGGGTAGGGTCCTCGTGTGAAAGGCTTCACCCCCGGCAGCTCCTCAGGAAGGTTTTCCGTGTCCCTCTTGGAATACAAAGGCTTGATGTCGATGCCTTCTGGGGTGTGCCAGATTAAGTCCTTGGGGTTCTTGCCTTTCAGCTGCTTCTCGGCCAGGGCAGCCCACTCGGGGTGCAGGGGCTGCCGGTGCAGCGGGCGCCGCGCCARGCGGGAGGCTGGGGRCTGTGMCAGGCGCGAGCAGCAGCACGGCCAGAGGCGCCGGAGGCCATCCTGGGCTCTTAGCATGTCTGTCCCAGCCGGCTGGCAGTAAGAYTTAAGCTGAAGGAATTAAAAATGCACAACTGTGTTTTGCACCGCTATATAAAGCCATGATTGAAAAAGCATGACAGGTGAATTTGCTCAAGTCAAGCGAGTTACTCAGGGGAAGTCACAAGTGAATTTATTCACTTCACAGAAACCCCCAAAACAGACAAATCATAAAGCAGAAGAAAAACAGGGAAAACATCCTCACAACTCCTCTACCTCATCTGAGACACATACATAACTTATGACAGCCCCTAACTAGCACCATCACTATTAACCAGGCAGTGCAAAGCTAATGTAGCCCAGCAAGGCCAACTATTCTCTCRTTTCCTGCTCCTTCTTTGTCCTAAGTGCTCCCTTAATAACGCACGCTGCTGATTTTATCCTACCAGACACCACACAGAGGCAGGAGGGGAGCAACAGGGCCGGTCGGTGACTCGGGAAAGCCGAGCTGCTGCCCCCCAGTCCTGCTTTTCCTCCCCAGCGCTGCGGCACTACGGCCAAAAGTTCCACGAGAGCGCTTTAATACCATAAATGTGACATAAAATACATATATGAGACACTAAGAGGAGCTCAAACACAACCTCACCGTTTCCTCCAACCCCTACCTGCCACCAGCCCCTCAGCAGGGACCCAACTGCCCCCTGCGGCAGTGCGCATGCGCCCTCCCCGCCCCGCGCAGGACCCTGGCACTGCGCATGCGCCCTCTCTGCGCACGGGCTCGGGTGCCGCAGTGCGCATGCGCTTGTCTGCCCGCGCGGGGAAAACGGTTTCCTAACGGCTCGACGGGATAGCGTGCGGTCGGTCTCGGTGGCAGTGTTGAGGAGACACCGAGGCATCCGAGGAGTCGTCGCGGGCGGTGAGTCCCGTCCCGGGTAGTTGCGGTGAAGTGGGCTGTGGAGGTCTCCCCTGTGAAGCCGGCAGCCGTAGAGAACCTGGGTCTTTTGGGGAAAGYTTCTTTGGCAGAAACTACAATTCCCGTCATGCATCTCGCTTTGAAGGTGGAAGCGGTGAGGGGTGGTGGGCAGCGATGCATGCTGGGAGTTGTAGTTAGGGGAAGGTGTACCCGGCTGTCGSGACAGTCGCGACCACGGCGACGTGGCTAATGGCGACTCCTGTGTCACGGCGTGTTTTAGAGTTTTCTCGGTTGTAGCTGTTGCTGTTGCCAAGGTGAGCGYCTGTTGTGTCGTGACAGGGGCTCCTGTATGCCAGTCATTTCTGATAATTGCTCTTTTCTTGTGTCTGCACGGGGTGTTTTTTTTCCTTCCATTTAGTTTACAGATAATGAAACGCCACCACACTGCTTCCAGTAAGACGGGGGAGACCTCTGYTGAAGGAACAGTAAAAAAATCCCGTAAATCAATACATCAACAAGGGTCTTCCAGCAAAAAAAAGGGAACAGATGGAGGAGGAAAAAAAACAAATCAAAAAGGAGAGGTAATTATTATTTTGGGTCAAACAGATTAGAAAAGTAACCTGAGAGAAAAATAGGGATTTTGCCCACTTTTTTTTTTTCCCCCTGTTGGAATGCCAGAGAGTATTTAACAGATTCGCAAATAGAGAGTATTTCACAAAATAAAGGTAGTCCTCTTGAGAAAGTGTCCTGTACGAACATTTCCTTGAGGGAGCGCTACTATAGCTGTGAACTCTGGAAACCAAAAAGCAACATGTGCTATTGTGTGTTTGACCAGTAGAGGGAAGTATTGTCTGAAAAAAAACAATAGAGTAGGCTGGCTTTGCTTTTAAGCAGGGTGATAAAATCTGTGTTCCTTCAGCTTAAGTGAARCTGGTTCAATTCCAGACTATAATCTTCGCACATCTTAAAGTTGGCCTGAAGAGCTTTTTGTTGGAAAAAGCTTGCTTGACAGCTCACATCATGAATATCATTATCTCAAGATGTGTCTGGATAAAACACTTTCTCGCCTTGCGTATTTTTTATTTCATGACCTTACTTTTGGAATAAGTGGAAATAAAAATTGCTCGACTTTATCTGCTTTAGAGGAATAGTATTTCCTAGTCCACCAAGCCTTACCTGTAGTCAGTAGTAGCAGATCGCTGTCAAGCATTAAAGTGCCTTTACAACCTTTTCTGTAGCAGATTGAGGGTAGTAAATAAATGATTCCGCAGCAGCAGATATGTCCCAGTTTCCTTTGRTTTAAACTTTTCTTTCCAGCAGGTCACTCTGACAGCCAAATGGAAAGCTAAGGGACCCAAGAACTATTCTCCTGCAGGTAGGAACATATTTTTTTCTTATGTTTGTCTCTCAAAATGTAATGTTTTGGGAAATACTCAAATGAAAAAGTAATAACTGGTTTGTTGAACTGATAGGTGTATGAAATACGTTGTTGAAATAAGTTTCATCATTTTCTTTCTAAATAGTAAAAATGATGAATCACAGCAAAGTTTTAGTCACTGTATWWATACAGTGACTGTATACTTTATTCATATAAAGTATACAATACATGCATATACAGTACATATTATTTGCAAGTAATGTTCTCTGGTTCTGGATACTTGTGATAGAGTTAAAATGTAAAATCTATTTCATTCTTGGTTTCTTGCTTGTATCACAAGTGGTTTTGTGAAAAATACTTGTTAAATGTGAAAGTTTTTATAGGAAAGAAAACTCTTCCATTTAATGTTGATAGATAATAAGTTGATATTTTTGTGAGAGGGAAAAATCTTCACAGATAACTTTTTGACCACCATACAGTTGAATTATTTACTGCAAAGCTGTTTATCCACACTTGATAAATTTCTTTTTMTTTTCATCAATTTCTTTTTCCCCCTCTCCCTCCTTCTGCTAGTACAAACAAAAGAAAATGGTTCTTCAAAAGAGATGAAACTAAGCAGTGCTGAAATAGCATCTTGGCAGACTCTGTCAGAAAGCAGTAAGCAGTTTCTGGAAACTATGATGAATTCAATAATACTGTAAGTGCAAACTATTCTGGTGATTCTTTTCTGTCTGCTTCTCTAAGCAATAAAGTAAAACACAAATACTTATCTAAAGTTGTAAATTCTCATCTAGACAAGATTCAAATATTTACTTTGCTTGCTAAGTTCTTTGTGCTTTCTGGCTCTGTGATTAAAAAAATATACCTTTATTTTCTTTCCAGTTCTCTTTTGTGCCAACAAAGAGAGARGAAAGAAGATGTTCAGAAACACCTCAATTTACTGAAACAAAGGTAAGAAATTAAAAAAGGAGCTGGAGAAGAGGTGAGAAAATGGAATCTGATTAATCCCTTACTGAACAGKGGGGTTGGACTAGATCTCTAGAGATCCCTTCCAACCTTAACCACTCTGYGATTCTGTGATCCAGGTTTTTTTGTACAACGCTCATAGGAGCAATCCTATTGGAAGGAAAAGTTGATAGAAAATCAAGGAGATTCTTAACAGATCCAGAACAGGTATCTTAACAGTACAACTCATGCTTTCCCTTTTTGCTGATACAGGATGCTGAGAGTTTTCAAGACCTTAAAGGTACCTCCAAGGAAGCTGGGCAACCTGAAGAATTTGCTGAGTCTTCAAGTGGCAGAGAAACAAACGCTTGAGACAAATGAAGAATCTTTGGTACAACTACAGGTAGGAAAACAAGAATGGGAAGAAAATGTATCTTGTCTTTCTTCTGCTTGTTAGTGTGTTTTAACCTTTTGGCAGAGATGYTGTCCCCCCTAGTCATTATTGTCATCCACCTTTGTTATTAAGCAGTGTGTCTTTTTGGCTGTTGTCTCAGTTATTTAACTGGTGCTTTGGAGAAGGGACTTAGAAGAATCAGGAAGTTTTGAATACTGTATCAACAGATGGAAGAGAGGATAGTTCTATAATCCTGTTAATTTTTTGTTCTATGTGTGTGTGTGTGTGTGTGTGTGTGTGTGTATATTTATCTTCCTCTCCAGTCTTAAGGACAATTTGTTTGGGAACTCTTGCACTGTATTTGATACACATATGGGTCACTATCTCCAGAGAAGTTTTTATTGCTGTTCCCTCTTTCTGTCTATTTTACTTTAGGAAGAAATAAATGAAGCCAAGCGATCTGCAGAACACATGGATGAAACTGTACAGCAACTACAGTACAAAATMCAAGTGCTCAGGAACAAGTTGAAGGAAGAGGAAAGAAAGGCTAGCAAGGTATTTGGGATAAATATTGCTGCTTTCGGATAAGGAGAAAATGTGTTTCTTGTGCTAGCCCATCCAAATTGTTTCYACTGACAGCTTAATAACAGGGAGTTGTCAACTGTCTTTTGGAATTGTACCTTTTCAGTCATTCCAAGTTCAATTGCAAAACTAAGGAAATTATTTATTTAGAAGTTGGGTAATAGCAGGCAATTTCTTTTTTTCTTACTTCCATTTTTCTCTATTTTTTTTTTCTTCAYACCACAGGTATTACAGCAAGACTGCAGTGGAGCACTCCACCTTCCAGAACTCCCTAAGCACAGTTTAGAGGCACCCACTCTGCAGGTGAGCAGGGAGAGTATTTTTAGAGACAACTTGGCAGGACAGGAGTGCCATAGAAAGTGTCTTTATCACTTAGCTTTCTTAGCCAGAAGGCACAATATATATTACAGTTTTTTTTTTTTGTTTGTTTGTTTTTTCATTCAGAACTATATGCCTGTGTGGGTAGTTTGTGTGTGAGTGTGGGTTGATTTGTTGTGCTTTGTTTGCTTGTTTTTTGTTTTTTTTTTCCCCCTCCCTCAAAAGCATGTAATGTAAAGGTCCCCTGTATCTTTCTAGTGTCATTGTGGTTCCAGGAAGCATGTAATCATTTCTGATGTAAACCACGAAGTAGCTCTAGAAGGCAAGGTGCATCTTTAATCCCTCTCTAAACTTAAACAGCTACACTGTATTAGCCTGATGGAGTGAAATTCCTTTTGGAGTCAGTAAAATAAATCTTCTTATTGCCTCTTATTCTTGATATTTTTTTTTTCTTTAGAAAGAAATTTTGAAGATAAAGAACAAGAATGGTCTTCTAAAGGATATGAGCATTATTCAGCAGTCAGCTGAAATGAAGAACATGTTAACCCTCATTGAAAAGATCTATGAAAAGGTGGACTTCATTTGAGAGACCGAATATATGGTGTCTGCTTTGAAGCAAGATAACCTCTGCCAGTATTCTATACTATATTGGCATGTAAATGCTTTTGAGCACTGTAGTGATTTAGGTACTCTGTCAGGAAATCTTTTGACCAGTGGGGCCTCTTCTAATGAAGATACATATTTTCTTAGAGGAAGAGAGGCTCATTTGCACTTTTTATAGGCTTGGGCAATGTCTTTCATTGTATTTGGGCTTTTATATCAAATGAGAAAATGTCGTGCTTCTCATGAAACTAACACATATTTCAGAGTTAAATCCTCTTTAAACTTGAAGCATCTAGTAAAGTTAAGTCTATCTAATGCAGAATTGCAAATCCTCTTTTTCACCTTCATTACCTTTTTTTTAATAAAAAGGCCTATACTGCAGGAGTCTGAGTCAGACTAYAGAGTTTTCTTACCTTGTTTTGAGCAGTAAGTTGAAAATGTATTTTATATCCGGTTTATTCATGGGGAAAGCAGTTGAGAACTTTATGGAACAAAATTTTCTCAATAAAAWTCTCAATTATGTACTCCATATTTCATTAATTGCAAGGTATCCTTCAGCCTTAGAAAATGAAGCTAACTGTACACTTTTCTTATGCAATTCCTTGTCAGCAGTAGAACTTCTCCATYAAAGGATCTAGTTGTTATACAGCACTTTCCCTAGCTGACTTATCATTTGGAAAACTTAGCAGTATTTTTAATATTGACTTAACCAAGAAAACATTTGTGCATTTGTTTACAAGCTTCTGGTACCTTTAATGAGGCACAAGRTAATTATCTCTCTCTCCCTCTGAGAGGCTAGTTGCTGTGTTTTGAATCAGGACAGCAGCAGACAAGTTTATGATGGGTATATCTATTGGCAATTATTAAATGGTTAGAAAGCAGTATTGAAACAGGAAGTCCCCGAATTGTTGATTTACTTTTCATCATACATGATGATTCTSTGAAGGACAAGACACTGAGGTCAAATGAATTATTGTTTGTATCTGTAGCATTTCCTACCATCCTACTAGAAAGGCTGTGATCAGAGTGCTTTGCAGTTGTTCCTGCGTGATTAAATCTTGATCTTTGTATCAAACTGGTCTGACAGGAATGAACAAAGAGTCAGGCAAGGGTCCAACAGGACTGCAATTCTGCTGTCCCAAGACAGTATTTCTGGATGCCTTGTTAGGTTGATTTCCTCTTTGGCAGAGTACGTCCCAGTTTATTTCAGGTTCTAATTCTTTATGGCATGAAGCTTAGTACTGAGCTTGAATTTGATCCTTGAGAAGAAGACAGGTAAGTATGTACAAAGCAGATCATTGACTGATAGCAATGCAGGGAGATTAACTTCTCAATGAAAAATTAAAAGTTCTTACCAGAGCTCTGTACATTTGTACAAGCCTTTTAATGCTGAATTAACTCTGCTTAAGGAGYCCCTCCTCCTTAGGAGGTGTGGTTGGCTCTTGTTTTGATCTCTGTGCTCCCCCAAAGAAATAAACAATAAAGCTTTTAGGAAAAATACACCACTTTGGAACAACACAACTATATTTTCAGTGTCAGTTTTTTCTCTGCTACTCTGCTGTTGCTTGTGTAGAAGTGACGTGCACGTGGACCCATTTTCCTATAAATTCAAGCTCATCATTACACTTTGGAAGTAAGAGGTACAAGACAGATCAGGTAATAAGGTAAGTGATCAATTGGTCTATCAGTGCCATATTTCTTTACACTTTTAAATCTATTTCTAGGCATAGAACTATAAGAAGCATCCTTCCGTAAATGTAACTGTACACTCCAACACATCAACATTGTCTTTAGTTACAGATGCACATGCACACTGATGGCACTTTTGTGGCCTGGAAGCAATTTCTGTCTTGGAAATAGTTAGAAAATGGCTTTAAGAAAGGTGGATATGGTCATCTTGTAGGTATTTTTTGTGAGCATGTGAAACAACAGGCGACTAAGGGAGAGCTTGAAAGTAATGATATATCATATTGATCTTGAAAGATGTTTTCCTGTCTAAGGCACAAGTATGATTTTGTGAAAATGTAAGCTTCAGTGCTGTGAGAAACTATGAACTATGATATTGTTTATTAAGATGTATGTTAAGCCCAATATAACGGTTAAACCACAAAAGATGTGAAATCACTTACATAAACTAAAACAATCGCCAGACGCTGGTGCAAGCAGAGATAACCACAAGATTTTAAGGAACTAACAGAAATGTGACAAACTACCCCATATAAGGAATAAGGGGTCAACTATGGGACAAGGGAGGAAGACTTCTTACTTCGGCCTTAACGACCACCAGGAGGCAGAAAACGACCCCCTAACAACAACTGAAGCATGCGCAGAGTACCTCCACTATTTCACAAGCACGGAAGTAAAGATGTATAATAATAGACTGTTTGAACTGCTTAGTACGGCAGTTGGCGGAGCGCAGACTCCCCTGCCGTCCAGCGCTGCTTTTGCTCAATATTCTACTTGCTACAATTAATAAAATTCTAATTGGACTATGATCCTTTGTGGTCGTAATTTATGACAAGTGCATTGTTAATATTCTTTCGTATTGATCTGGGGAGCAAATTGCCTGTACATGTGTTGCTAAATACTGTGGCTTACTCATTAATGACACCAATAAGCAACCCAATTACTGTTGATTGTTAGTCATTTTCCTGTTAAACGTCTGTCATTTTGAAATTGGGCTAAATGTTTGTAACATATTCAGCCTGAAGTGATTTAAAACATTAAAAAAACCCCCAAAAAACTGTGGAATATAATCTTAGAAGAAAGGACAGTCCTTTTCTATTTAAAATAATTCCGTAGAAGCCTTTTTCTATAGGTAACAGATCAACCACAACACTGTGATTTCAGGAAAAGTTGGTGATTGGTTTGCGGTAGAAGATTTGCTACAAGGCTCACATGTATTATGATTTATGTCACCCATGTCAAGACCATGTCAAGATCCTTCTATATAGCACTTAGTACTTATCAGTTAAGTACTTATTTCTTATAAGTACTCAGTTAATCAGTACAGGCTGATTAACACAGTACAGGCTGATTAACACCAACTCTGTTTTTTTCATTGTCTGAGTTATCTGTTGGATTAATCCCTTTGAAGCAGCTGTATGTGTCTAATAGACAAACAGAATTTGGGGATGGATGACCAGAGACTCCTTTGTTACAGGATTTGCTGTTCCATCTGCAATCTTGAGTTGTGATTAATTTCAGGATCTTTATTAGGTGAAGACTGATAGTGCTTGATGGCTACCATAAGGTTATGCTTATAAAGGTAAAATACTGTTAAGGTATGGTAGGTTATATGACAAGCTGTAGCAAAAGGAAATTTTTTTAATATAGATTGGTATAGATTAGAGGAGTGAAATAGATTAATGGATGTGACAGTTCTGGGAAATTGTTCATTAGTACCTAGTAAGAGTGTTCAGGCATATATAGCCTTAAAGAATTTAGTGTTAACAGTTATGACGCTTATTTCTTACAATATTTACCAGCAAAAGTTAGCATGTTTTCTTTTCAGACATTAGAAAGACTTTGTGAATCTATCCATAAGCTACCTGGCTAGTGTTGTCAAACACCACCCCATCTCACTGATCTCTGTACATCCATCTATTGAAAAAAAAATACATATTTATCGCCAAAGGTTTCCATAGAAAAATGCTGAGAGGGGGGACCTGTAGAAGTTACTGTATTTTATGAAGCTGTTAGTTATGTCACCCAGTTCCCACTATTTTTTTTTTTTTTTTAACATGACTCTTCACATTTTGTCTGTATTTCCCAAGCAAGTCTGCAGGAAACATGCTGGTGCTGAACTGTTCCGTTAAACTGCAGATGCTGGAGAAAATGTTAATGTGGAGCTTTCCCGAGTCTCTCAAGGTAGCACAAAATCACGAGTCTTTTTAATGGTGTTTCACCCACGAATCGGGACATTTGTCAGGAAATTAAAGCTATGGGCAGGTGGTTGTGGTTYTTGTGGACTGGCTGAAGACTACACCTGAGAAATCTGTTTGCTTCTTTCTTAAGTATGTGGAATTTTCTTAAGTATGAGTATTTGCTCAGTGTATGCCTTAAAGATGTGCACTTATGTATGCATCTTTTGGCTTCCAATTGAGAATCTAAATGTGTACTTTCAGCTCTGTGTTCCTGGTTCAGTCCTTGGTTTATAAGGAAAGGGGACAAATTCCACATTAACGTGTCTCAAGCTGCCTTTCTTCCCTTGACTCTTTAACCTGCAGGTTTATGGAGCTGTGATGATTATCAACCGAGGGAATCCCTTCAGGAAGGAGGTGGTGGTGGACAAGTGGCCAGACTTCAAAGCTGTTATCACCCGGCCACAGAGGGAGGTAGATTGAGGTGTTTTGTCTTTGTTCCTGAGCTGTGGATCCAACAAAGCTTCTTCTCAGTTTTGACAGAGCAATGGTATAGCTATAGAGCAAAGCTCTATCATAAATAGCTCTCTTGCTTGAGGGTGTCTGCTGAGAGTACCCGAATAGCTAACCTCTGAACAGCCTCTCTGAACCTCCAACTATTTATTGGATCTATGGGGATGAATTTTTGTGAGTCTTGGTTCCAATGGGAACAATGGAGGGAAGAGGGGGAGAATTTGTAATTCCTTTATGTTTTTTTTCTCCAGAGTGAAATGGATGACCTTGACCATTACACCAATGCCCATGCAGTTTTCTACAAGGAGCTGCAAGCTTACAAGGAGCTTCTTGAAAACACGAACACTATTAACTGGGGGCAAATTTTTCAGATACAAGGTATAGTAGAGCTCTGATGTGTATATAAAAAAAAAAACAGAATAGGTGAAGTAGGTGGTTTAATAAGTCTTGAGGCAATGTGGATCCTGTCATGTTACTTCTAGGTAAGAGTGTATTTGAATTATTTCTTTGCTATGCGCTTTTTATTCTGTAGGTGACATACAGCCTGAGCAGTAGCGATTGTAAATGTGGTAATTAGAGGTCCTTTGAAAGTCAGTGGTTGGAAGCTAACCCCAAACAAGATCAAAATGGGAAACAAGGCTGAAAATTTTAGTTGCAAAGGATACTAATTACTAAAAAGAAAAACTTGCCTATGCAATAGATGAATTTTCTGACGTGAAATTTTTGTATTAGGCCTGTCTAACTTACTAGAGTTCTAACTGACTATGAGAGTTAGATGAGGAGGTCACAGGGAGAGTGTCTGTATTTTTGGGGTTCAGATTAGCTGAATAGCATGGCAACTTCTTATCTTCAGTTATACAATGCTACGGCCAGAGTGTGGAGAGTCATAAATCTGGAGGTCTTGTATACCTCTGTAGTTCCATAAAAGGTATAATCTTGAGCTTCTATTTTCAAAATGTGCTTTCTTTTTAAGGTGTATTAGTGTTTCWTTTTTTTTTTTAATATACATAGGGCTCCAGGATGGAATATGTGAAGTATCTAGAACTGTGGCTTTAACTAAGGATGTAGATGTGAAAATATCCTCTTTCAGGACTGTTATCCATTCCGA